CTACTTTTGTCCCAACACCGTGTCCAAGTTGATTTTGTTGCACAGCGTCTCGTAAATCCTGATAATATTCCGAGTGTAATTCGTTTTTGTGGAATCTCACCCATTTTAAGCGGAATTCAACTTTAGCGTACGCTATGCAACAAAACTCGTGGAAGAGACGCGCTGCATAAAGGAGGCAAGAGCTTTCACCATCTCCCTCGTGAACGTGAAATGCATAGTACTCATTGGCACTAAGTCCTGGCGGCCATCCAACTTCCGAGGCACGTCGGACAGACCAACTATCAATTCCCTCCGGGAAAAAGTAAAACAAACCTTAAGCAGTCGTGCGCTCGAGAATATTCCGGAACCACAATGGTCTGCCCTCACCTGGAAGAGGAGAACGCAAACGAATGTCGAGGTCACGAGGAAGGAGTTCATTGATCATCAGAACACACACCTCATATAAACCCATATGACGGTTATAACGCCTTGCATGTTCTTCATCAGGCATGACATCCGGATTTATAACCAACTTCCTCCCGTTCAACGCTTCCGGCGGACGATCAGCAACCGTTATAAAGTCCTTCACGTAATTGTTACATTGTTATAGCAATTCGTGAAACCTTCTCAATATGCATTTCGGTCGATCAAGTTCGACACGGATGTACGTGCAGGTAAGTTAAGGAAATCTTCCCTTTGGTCAATCACATCATCCAAACGTTGAGGATCGTGCAAGTATAGTTGCGCAAACTGAGGACGTTCTCCTTCCTCCACAAAGCAATGCACCGACACGATGAAAGATTGGACCTTGAGCCCTAAGTTGGCCCTGGAATCCTCGAACACCATAGCTCGACGCTTCAACCTCGAGGATGCGTGGGATAAACTATTATTAATTATCCTCGCATTGTTTCGAAGGAATCGACCATCGAAAGTTTGAGACGTCCAAAGGAAAAGAATCTCATGCTCCGGAGAGCCTTCGCAAGGCCATTCCCACAAAGGACAACGTTTTGTACCGTTTCGGCAACACATCTTTGTCAATTTTCTTTCATGATGACACAATTTAGCACCACAATGCTTACACGGATCTCGACCGTCAATGCCGAACAGTTCAACAATGCGGGCATTTTCAAAATCGCTACGGAGTTCTCAGCAGCCGCATACGTTGTTCTCACGGGTGCCGATGAGAATGCATTCAGATCAGGAACCGGAACATCATGTGAATCATTCATTTCTTCCTCGCGATTATTTGCCTCTCTGTCTTCACAATTGTTCATTGAATTTCGATTTCTCACGAATGGATTCTGTGATTGTCTCACTCGGAAGGACAGACTCTGCGAGTGTCTCGCCCGATAAGATTGACTTCGCGATTGTCTCGCAGGAGAAGATACACTCCTCGATTGCGTAGAGGCGCTCGCTCTAATCTCTCGAAGGATATTCACAACGAACAAACTTTGCCTCACAACCCGCACAAAATCTTTATGAGCACGTTCATTTTCTTTCCTCCTATGATTTTTAACCTCAACTCTCAATGCAGACATGCGTTTAACATGAAAGTTTCATCGTCTTCCCTAACTTTTCCTTTGTTTTGAAATCTTACGTGACGTCAAACATGATTCATTAGCATTCATTCTATCGACTTGTTTCGTTCCTTCACTAGCCTCTACAGTACTTTCAACAACTATTGCATTTCCATAATAGCTCGATGACACACGGTGAAGCATCGACGACAACGATCTAAGTTCCAAACGACGCACGAGTTTATTGGCACGCAGTCGTCGAATCAACAACATACGGTACTGTCTGTTGCACCTTGAACAAATCGGTTTCCATAATAAAAATGTTCACCGTCGATTATGAGATCCAATAAACTTTCTAAACAATGTGTTCGGCGAATTCGGTTTGGCCATGACAGCAGAAAATGGATGTGCATGAACATTTGTCAAAGTGGGAGAAAGGTTGCTATCCACACATTTTTGTCGGACATCAGCAATCAATGTCGATGATGAACAATTGTGCATACGTGCCGAGTGCAAGGGAAAATCGTTGAGTAAAACTGATCTTTCGACTATCGAAACGGGATCTTCATTTATTGCAACGTCCGTAGGAATTTCAAGTGGACGTTCACTTTGCAAGGTCATAGAAAGATTTCCATGACAACTAATGTGATTCGTATGAACATTGATATTTCCTTGACTCGTTGTTTTGAAAAACACAGGGCTTGTGAAATCATTCATTAATGAAATCGCTTGTCGAAAAGATGGAGACCTATCACTATATTGTTCTTCGGGAGAACAATCAGGACCATCATCTTGAGTTACCATCGGTTGTTTATCTCTCTTGGGAGCAATCCCCTCACCTGCAACACCTATGACCTGTTGTAAAGACCTTCGGGTTCAACGACTTTAGGAAAGTGGTCGTCCACGTTTGTGGTGTTCGTGTTGTGATGACATCAGTGTATCACTCGCAGAGCGACCGAGAGTAATATCCGAACCTATACGCAATCCCAAATTCATGGTTGGATGAGGAACAAGGGCGGTCTAACGAAGATAAACCGACTTGACCTGAAACAACGAGAGGACACCGAGTACACTCTGATAGTATCGGCGAAGACACAAAAGGATCCCTTACAACCTTTTCACAACGACGAAGGCGTTTACGACGCTTCTACGGAACATGCAAGGACCTATCCGCAGGTGAAGAGAATGTTGAAACGGTGGATAAATTACTGTTGGTTGAATCGTTATGTTGAACTTGGTCCTCTGCCCTATTAATGGGCACATACGTACATATTTGTACATGGGCACGTCATGGCGGATAGGAGGAATAAGATGCATATAGACAATCGAAACGAAAAGAACACACCTCAAAACATCCGTATATAGATGTAATTATATGAAGAACAATAATATAGTGTCAAATAGAAAAGAAAAGAGAACAGAAAAAAGAAAGAAGATGTAGTGCAACACATAGAACGCAACCGAAATGAAAAGCACAGAAGATGGAAGAAAATAAGGAGTCAGTTCGTTTTTTTTTTTTTTTTAACACGTCTATCGAGGTTAATCAATGTTAATTCAGATGATAATTTTTTTCTTTGTGCAAATATAGATGTACAGTTCCACTTTCATGTTTGTGCAAACGTTTATTCGGGACCTTAACTTATTTTGACTCCTATTGAGGTTAATTAAGACGCCCCTTATTTTGTTGTTATTCGTCATTCAGTTCTTATGTTCGATTTGTGATCCTATACGCCCTTTAGTCTTTTAAGGGCCCCATGTGATAAAGTCATACGTACCTCGTTTGTCCACGTTTGCCCTTTGTCATTCTCTGGCAGGGCTCACTTTCCTGTTCGGATAAATTTGTCATTGGGATCATAACTTCTTTTGGCTTTAATCCACATTAATCGAGGCGGCTCCTACTTGCGACCAGCCTTAGGTATCCTAAGTCAGTTATTCGTCCACAAAAGATTTGAAGAAGGTAAAATATCTTCGTCGACCTTTCTGAGCGTCGATCGCTAGGAAGTAGTCCGTAGTACCCATTCTCCTCGCCTGAGCACGAGGCCAAAATCTCAGAAGTAGGCATTGGTTCCACCGCAACAACATTGCACCACCCCCATAAATAGATCTATGCGGTGTGCCGCACCTCTCCCCAGCCAGCCTCGCAGGTCGTGGATCCAGGAAAATTCATTCCTCGTAATTGAGGTCGGGCAAACCGTTGATAGTCTCACCTTTCTTCTCATTTTTTGCTTGGGCGACTTTGATGAGATAGCAACAAAGGGGGTAGAGAACAAAACTTTTTGGAACGGGTCTAGGCGACAGAAGGTCATTCGGGATAAAACGGGTGCCTTGGGAAAAAGACTGCGTTTATTGCCAGCTTTATTCCTTCTTATCGGATTGGTTCCTTCTCCAATATTCATTCGAAACACAGAGTGTGACCCCCCCTCCCAATGACACTTAATTTGCTTCACATAACCGCCTGAGTATTTTCAGCGCCCTATGTAGACCAATCATACGTACCTTGATTGTTCCCGAGCATGTTTTGCTTTCCTTAGATACCGTTTACAGGAAGACGGCCTAAGTTTATTGTTGTTTTTTAATTTATTATCAAGACTCTTGCTTTCTAATTATTCATAAAAATTACGTTATAATATCACAGAACATTTAAGCCTACATTTTTTTTTCCCCATACTCATCTCAATCGCTTTTGAACATTATCTCATGTCCATATTTTGAGGGATACTCACCAGGTTGTTTTTTAAGAATAAGCAGAACAGTATAAGAATGAACACACAAAACCATACAATATTGAAAAACGAAATTTAACAAATGTTTGTAACTAAGGATTAATATAATCTCCATAACCATCAACATGTAGAACACGAGATCACATACCAACAAACGACTAAGGCAACCTTTATTTGTATACATCAATAATATTTTCTTCTATTTTCATAAATA